GATTAAATTTAAACAAGCTGATTACTCACCAAAAACTCCCACAGATCAAGTTTTCAGACCATTTTAAGTCTTATTTTGACGTAACAAAGTGGTTATATTTAAATGTATGAGTTGTTTAAAATGAGTCTTCCCATTAATGCCAAACATGGAACGCGCATGAACACAAGAGACAGGATTTTGCATAAACCAATCACAGCTGAACATAGCCAGTCATATCCAATCATATCATGATGAAGGCATTGTCTCCTCTCATGTGATTTTCCCCCATTCATTCTCAATTACCCCCACAGCATGCTTTAGTTCAGGGGTAGGCAACGTCGGTCCTGGAGTGCTAATGTCCTGCAGAGTTTAGCTCCAACCCTGAAAAAAAACCTCACCTGCCTGTAGCCTTAGTAATCCTGAAGACCTTAATTAGCTTGTTCAGGTGTGTTTGATTAGGGTTAGAGCTAAACTCTGCACAGGACATCGGCACTCCAGGACCAATGTTGCCTACCCCTGCTTTAGTTGGTCTGTTAAAACTCAATGGGCTTAGGGGAGGCGAGAGAGACGCGGAGTCCTGCTGTAACTTTACCTGCTGGTGTCGCTGTTGGACAGACTTTCTTTAGAAAAACGAGTGATTTATACACTTTTTAATGTTATATTTTATAATATTGGCGTTGTTTTATGTTTGTACTACGAATTTCTATTCTCATCCAATATTTTGAGGATATATATATATATATACAGTATATATATATATATATATATATACACACACACGCACACAATTTTTTCTCTGCTTTGCACACACAAATTTCAATAAAAATACGTTTGAATAAAAATATTTTTTAGATATGTAATATATATAATGTAAATATATTACATTCTGCATGATAAAATATAAAGATTTCACAGTGATCTGATAAAACCAAGTTTTACATGTACATGTACATGTGAAGACGAGCGGAGAGTAGGCCTATAGAATAGGAAAAATATAGCTAGCTAGCGAATACGTGCATATTAACAGTGTAAACATGAATTAACCATGCGACCATATAATGATTAAATGTTCATAAATTAAGTGTATCAGCAATCATAAATCAAAGAAGAAATTTATTAGAAATATATTTTACCTAGATGACGAGGATCACTCAGTCGCTTTGTGTCAAACTCAAATGCAGTTAAGGGGTTTTTGACCAGCGAATGTGTGCAAATATGCATTTTGTCCGTCATTAAAACGGCAACATCACGTTACGTTTTCATCAACAGGTTACAGAGTTTGTTGTAGCTATGCGCTCAGTTTTTTCCTGTTGTAAAATACATTTGGCCAAAATCTCATTTTTATAAAAGATGAAATGCTACTGTATGCACAGGCTAGTAGCTATATGCTATTTAATGACTAGATGGCAAATGCTAGCCCTCTCTTTCCAGTCATGTCTCAGGCCTCAAATACATAAAATATGAGCCTTTATAGACAGTGTTTCTTGTGTAAAGAAAACGCTGTAATTATTCAAACAACAAGATCTTTATTTAGGCTACCCTTGCAAGACTTCATTCAGTTGCTGTGGAACTTCAGTTCATTCAGTGAAGATAGAGGGTGTGGAGTTATGAGGTTTTTACTGGCAGTTTGAGCGGAGCCAACAAGATTTAGTCACAAACTCTTTATAATACCTTTCAGTCACAAGCTCTTTTTAATACCTTTCATTGGCTAAATATTTCTAAAACAGACAGACAGACGTAAAGGGTGACCAATAGCATTGATTTATTGAAGAAGAAGAAAAAACACACACAAAAAAGGGCAATTTGGAGTGTAAGGGCAAAAAGGGCATGTGCTCTGCACAGGTTGAGCCCTACCTGTGCACGTGCCTGTCTACCATTCTGCAGGCGAAGAAACTCTGCTGGCCTGGGTATGTTTTCAGAATCAAGACAACTTCAGTAGATCAGGATGTTCTGGGTTTAAAAAGTTCAACAAGAAATCAGAGTTGACCATTGCTCAAGAAGAAATTAAAAAATAATAATAAAAATTAAGCAGCACCACTGTTTTCAACATTGATGATAATAAGAAATGTTTCTTGAACGCCAGATCAGCATATTAGAATGATTTCTGAAGGATCTGAAGACTGATGCTGAAAATTTAGCTTTACAATCAGAAGATTCAATTGCATTTAAAAATTCATTCAAATAGAAAACTGTTATTTTAAATTGCAATAATATTTCACAATATTACTGTTTTTACTGTATTTTTGATCAAATGAATGCAGCCTTGGTGAGCAAGAGACTTTTTTCGAAAACATCGTACCAATCCCAAACTTTTAAATGGTAGTGTGCAGTATATACTGTATAATATTTACATTATATACTGTATGTATTTTCTAAACTGTCTCTTTTTTGCAGGTAGCAAGTTTGAGATGTACGCCTGCTTTATTCCACTCGTCACTAAGAAATCAGCTATCAGTGAACTCACTAAACTGCTGCGATGGATCAAAAAGGAAGAGGAGCGTCTCTTTATTTGTCACCTCCCAAAATACTCCACTGCCCTGCAGCCCGGCAGGAGTTCCACAGACAGGGGGAGATCAGATACATCGAACACTGGCCTTCTGTCTCTCTTGTAACCTTGGGTAACCTACCACCCAACAAACAAGTTGCTGTTTTATTTCCATGTTTTATGGTAAATTCAGTGGGTCTGTATGAAATGGGAAATGTGGCTGCATTGAATATACTGTATGTCTTCTTTTTTTGTGGACTTGGCGTTTCCTTAAAGGGGTCATATGATGCGATTTCAAGTTTTCCTTTCTCTTTGGAGTGTTACAAGCTGATTGTGAATAGATAAGATCCCTAAAGTTGCAAAGACTAATGCCGAGTTCACACTGCACGATTTTAGCCCGATTTTTCACTCGCCGACAGGTTTTGCGAAATCGCCGACAAATGCCCGACATCGGAGGCAAATCGGTGCTCGTTCACGCGAGTGACAATCACGCAGTGTGAATTATCAAAGACGCGATCTGAGGGAATCGCCGACACGTCGCCGACGCCCGTGAAATATTTGGCATGCTAAATATCTGGAGCTGTCGGCGATTCACAATCACGCTGTGTGAAATGATTTCTGACTGAAAAGCACATCGGCGATGACCTACAGCCAATGAGAGACCAAGATACAGTTGTGAAAGCTAAACTACTTTGTTTGGTCTTCCAAAAGAGGACACGACTAGAAATCAGTGGTTAAGTTGTATTTACAACACTGTTCCAGAACAGTTCAACCCAAATATTCAGATGTGTGCAGCGCATTTTATGGAGGACTGTTTCCTGATCCTGGGAGAGTAGACTACAATGCCGGCTGTTCTGACTCACAGACTGTAAGTACGTTTTCATTTGAAGGATTTGCCACTGATGATTCAAACGCGAGTTTTGAGCAGTGTAGAGAAGCGCTTGTTGTTTGTCATTTCTCCGATCACAAATGCAGACATGGTTTTATGTTTACGCAGCGCGATACGCAACGCGTAAAAAGACAGTATAAGTCATTATAATCCGTATTTATGTCCCCACTGGATGCAACAAATGCCTTGTTTGTAATGGGTTTTATTGGTTTTGTCTCATTGCGCCGGGACACACGGAGACACAGTATGGTAAGGGGTGTAACATTTCCATCACACGCTAGCGGTATTCAGCCAATCACAACACACTGTATGGCTGGCCAATCAGAGCACACCTCGCTTTTCAGACCGATGAGCTTTGTAAAAATCGAAAGGCGTTTCAGAAAGGCGGGGCATAGAGGAGAAACAATAATGTACAGTATGTGGAAAATAATGTTTTTTTTTTAACCTTAAACCCCATAAACACATTGCATTACACCAAATACACAAAATAATGTTCTTTTTAGCAACATCATATGACCACTTTAATGCAGTTAAAGTTCTCAAATTCATGTTAATTTTTCAGTTCAACTTTTCATGCTTTGAAAAATAATGCTTTGAACCGTTTGGCAGCGACAAGATTTTTGATGTTTTTGAAAGAAGTCTCTTCTGCTCACCAAAATTTATTTGTTCAATAGTACAATAAAAACCGTAATATTGTGAAATATTACTACGATTTAAAATAACTGTTTTCTATGTTTATATATTTTAATATTTAATTTATTCCTTTGACGTCAAAGCTGGATTTTTGGCAGCCATTACTCCAGTCTTCAGTGTCACAAAATCCTTCAGAAATCATTCGAATATGCTGTTTTGCTGTTCAAGAAACATTTTTTTTTTATCATCAATGTTGAAAACAGATGTGGTGTTTAATATTCTTGCTTTTTTTGTGGAAAGCATTTATTTGAAATAGAAATATAAAACAGAAAACATGAAAGTATTATTGTTACTTTTTATGTGTTGTTTGTTTTGCTAAGATACTTAACAACTATTAAAAAAAAGAATGATATTCAAAAACAGCATGAATTTTAATGCATGCCACTTTAAATCATATCACAGAACTATTGACTGGTTACTGCTTGTAAAAATGACTAACTCATGTGACACTCCAGAGTTACTGATGTTTATTCTACAGATACAGTAAAGTTAATTGACTTATAAACCGTATCAGAGTATCATGTGTTCTTTGATCTGTTCCTACAACAGTAAGCAGTAAGCAGACTTTTCGTCTTCCTTTCCAGTCCCAACCATAAAAATGTCAACCTGTCACACAAAATGTTAAGAAGTAGTCAGGATTTTAGATAATATAACTAGGTCACATTAGAACACTAGAAAAATGGCTATTGCTTTTAATACATATGCGATATGAATGGTTATTTTGTCACCGTTGATTGTCTGCGCTGACAAAAGAGCATAAAATCATTCCTGTAGTCTCAATTCACACATCTAAGTGAATGCTCGATCTGTAACTGTAACTAATTTTTGACCAACCAGGATAGGGGCCCACAGGTGCCGTCTAGGTAGTCAGCTCACTAGGTTTTTGAACCACAGCCCATGTTATCACAGCCACAGTAGTGAATACATTGTGTTAGTGCGCCATCTACAGGACAGGTGCAGACATCACTCATGGTGGGGGTTCTGTCAGCAAGCCAACGCGTTTAGATAGGCGACATCAGAAAGCTGCAGCTTTAACCTTCATCTTATCAGAATGAGTTAATTTGCTAATACAAGGCTGACAGCAAACACAGTAATAGCAGATAGAGAGAGTTTGTATTCTGTCAGCAGTGTTTTGCTGTAGTGAAGATGGCGCAAGCACTGTCAGAAGAGGAGTTCCACCGTATGCAGGTACAAATCTCTTTATTTGCGCTACATCTGATACAGCATGTGATGCACATACGAGATCGTTAACGTGTTTACATGCAATTTCGGTTGAGAATATGTGCAAACGGGTCTATTTTATGGGTGAAGTCGATGATGTCCATCTGAGCGGATTGGGACTCTGTTAGCTGTAGCCGTTAGCCTGGAAGCTAACTGTTATGAGGCCGAAATTTTATTTTAATAGACGATTACGATATTTTTATTTAGTGTATGTAATCGTTTAGCTAACAAAATGACTGTTTGTTGAAATGACATTGAATATAGTCGCTCTTTGACGCGTTTGTGACATAATAAAGATGTGCTTACCCTGTTAGCACGCTAACCTGTAATTACTGAACATTAGCACCGTTAGCACACCAAACAGCTGATATTATTGCTTTTCTACACAATTAAAGGGTTTGTAGGTTGTATATTTACTTCTTTAGACGTATTTCGTGTAAATGTTAGGCTATTAAATATCACATCGCTCTCATTTTGCTCTAGCATAATCTTGTTTACAACTCCTGAAGCATCTAATATTCAGTATCATAGCACTTTGATCTTTAATTAAACGTTTCCATTACCTAAATAAACTCTTAATACATTGTAAACCACTGTTTTAACATGATTCATAGCGTAAAAAGAGACTGCATGATGCTTTTATGATGATTTGTTGTCTAGGGGGTCATTATTCCTGATTTACAATAATCAATAATATATTAAATACCTTGTTACCAAAAATATACCTCATATAGTATGTTTTGCTCTATTACTTTCTCTTTTAATGTGTGTGTCGACAGGCTCAGCTTTTGGAGCTGAGAACACAGAACTACCAACTATCTGATGAGTTGCGGAAAAATACAGCAGGTGAGTGGAGAATGTAAACCTAAACCTTTACTTATTCAAAACACTGGCCAACTTGTTTGTGTCATTAATGCAGCAGATTGTAATTTGTTGTTGTTAAAAATCATATGTCTTGTTGAGCCTGTTCCAACCTTTGTCACATTTTTTTATTTTAGAGTATCTGTTGAATTTTGAGGATTTAATTCTGTCAAAAATTTGTGAGAGTAACTCTCTTATTGGTAGCTGAGAGCACAATCAAATTGATTAAATTATTTAATAATTGAACACGCCTTGGGGGAAGATATATAAAGATAGATGTTCTAATTCTGTCAGTCAAATCTGAGTTGTCTGAGGGCCTGGGGCCGGTTGCACCAGTTGTGTGTAATCAGAACTTAGTCTAGTTCAAGCATCAGTGGGCATTAAGTTACAATGTATGAACTTATAAATATTGAACTTGGCGTGAAAATGTGACCTAATATATTAAAGTAAATATTTGCAGAAGCTTAAAATACATCAAGGAGTTCATGTTTTGCTCATACACCTCAATCCTGTAGAGTGTAAAATTTAAACGAATAAATGATTTTAAAACAAAACCCTAAATTGTATGATTTGTAATAAAATATTAAAAATTAAAATATATATTTAAATGCATGTCATGTGACCATGTGATCAGTGAACCATGAACATGCTAATGTGTTGTTCAATTATTTACATTAACTTCAAAATAAATATTTTAGGTCAAAGGGTTTGGGAATCTCTACTTTAGATATTTATAATGTTGGAAATTTTAAGATGACGTTACATCTTCAGAAATAATAATTGAAATGTGATTATTTATTTATTTATATTTTGTCCCTGATTAATTTTTTGTGCTGTTCCTGGATACATACTAAGTGGAATTATGGAATAAAAATATAGCAGAGTTCCATAATTATGGAATAAACTTTGACAGTTATAACATGCAAAAACAAAACAGCAACTTCAAAGTGTATGGAAACTTTTCAGCGCTACTCATCGTTTACAGTTTTGAAATCTCCTTATTGGTCAGTAAAGGCAGATGTTATATTAAGCAACACGGCATCCTAAGACATTATGAATGATTTGGCAATCCTACCCTTTTTATCAGTGAACTTTCAGAGACAACTCTAATTTCAAGTATGCAGGCTATTATGTTGACTTGTATTATTTTATATAGTCCTGCTAATTATTAACAAAATGCATTAGCAGTTTCTGCTTGTGCAGCTGTCTGTCAAAAGTGATAAATGCACGTATTTGTGTTTCATTGCATGAAGTGAGTTTAGTACCTTGTTTTTTCGAGTTATTTTGTAACTTTATTTATTCTGTGTTGCAGAGCTCAACAGTGTCCGTCAGAAGACCTCGAACCTGGAGAAAGACTATGTCAAAGCACAGAAGGTAGTGGCTTTCTTTGGTTTTTCAGCAGGTCATTGCCATGCGATAGAGGTCAAGCTTTACTGCAGGCCTTGTGAATTTGCTTTGTGTGCTGTTTTCTTGCCTTCTCTTTTAATGGGCTGGGAGTAATTGACTGTTCTGGTCTGTTCCAGTTTTTTTTTTCTTCTAGTGTTTCTTTTTCTTATATACTTTCCTAAAGTGAACTAGACAGTTTGCATGCATTGCAACACAAAAAGTCACTAGTCTCGCAGTGGTCATGTTGTGAGTGTTGTTGCAAGCGTAATGATCAAAATGTAAGACAATACATTGTGTCCATGACTCAGCATTGCCAAACCATTCATAAGTCTGTATGAATAGGCACAATGAAGCAGTTTGCTAAAAGTGGTGTTTAAATGTTCATAACAATCAATTTTGCAGTTTTTGTTTGGTCATGCTAGTTTTGCACAGTTCATCTTTAAAGGAATAGTTCAACCAAAAACTATTCACCCTCAGGCCATCTATAGGGCCTTTCGCACCGCTTTAGTTCCAGAACTAAATGTACAGCTAAGATGTAGATGTTAGATAGTTTGTTCATCTGAACAGATTTGGAGAGATTTATCTTTATATCACTTGCTCACTAATGGATCCTCTGCAGTGAATGGGTGCCGTCAGAATGTAAACCGTTGCTAATATAGAAGTCCATTATCCATAATATTGCTTTCTCCAGTGAAAATATCATCTTGTCTGAATCAGGAGAGAAATATGCGCAGACCAAGCACCGTTTACAAGCAAAATCAGTCCAAAACCATTCTAACCAATATGTCGGTGGATTTTGATGTGAGAGGACAACAGGGGGATGGACTTTTTCCACTGGAGGAAGCGGACTGGAGTCGTGTGGATTGTTTGTGGATTATTGTGATGTTTTTATCAGCTGTTTGGACTCTCATTCTGACTGCACCCGTTAACTGCAGAGGATCCATTGGTGAGCAAGTGATGCGATGCTAAATTATTTCAAATCTGTTCTGTTGAAGAAACAAAATCTCTTGGTGGTATTTTAGGATCGATTCTATTTTAGTTAACAATTTAGTTTAGATAATGTTTTCTTTTTCATTTTCACCCTCAGGCTTTGAACAAGAGCAAGAAAGCACAGGTGAGATTTCTTCTTATATCAGTGTTTGATTTTTGACATTAGTTGAATACGAATAAAACGAAATGATATCCTGAGTGGTTTGGGAAAAAACTCTGTCTTCTAACCATGCTGTTTTATTCTCTTATTTTCAGGAGGTAGATGCCTTACTAAATGAGAATAAAATGCTTCAGGGCAAGTTACACAGTCAGGAAGATGACTTCAGACTGCAGAACAGCACCCTCATGCAAGAGCTGTCCAAGGTGCTGAGCACACAAACAATATTTAACCCCTGTCATGACCATGAGCATTTGAACCCGGTAGCTTTATGCACAACTATACTAGAAACTAATTGCTCACACTCACAGGAACTACATCAGTAATTTATAACTAGAACCTTATTTGCCTCACACAGTAGTCACATTGCTACAATTTAGTCAACATTACAACTCAAATGGCAGACAGTTTCCATGGAAGAATCAATATACATTACTCCAGTATTCAGTGTCACATGATTCTTCAGAAATCATTTTAATATGCTGATTTGGTGCTTAAAGAACATTTATTATCAATGTTGAAAACAGTTATGTTACCTAATATTTTTGTGGAAACTGTGATGGTTTTTAAAGTTCATAAGAACAGCTTTTGTGTGAAATAGAAATCTTTTGTAACATTACAAATGTCTTTACTGTCACTTTTGATCAATTTAATGCATCCTTGCTGAATAAAAGTATTAATTTCTTTAAACCAAAATTATAACATCTTACTGATCCCAAACTTTAGAGCAGTAGTGTTTATATTTCATCAAAAGTGGCACATCACAGAGATGACAGTCCCCACCTTTGTGCCCATTATGTGTTGAGTGTTTACATTATTATTCTTTTTTCTGATGGGTTGCGGTGTGTTGGTGCAGTTATGTTCTCAGATCGAGCAGTTAGAATTAGAGAATCGGAGACTGAGGGAGGGTCAAGGGCTGGAAAGACCCGCCTCTGGTCCAGTGGATGCTGAGCTCCTGCGTCTACAGGCTGAAAACTCCGCCCTGCAGAAGAAATTGAAAGGTGAGAGAAGCTCATACATAAAGTCCTCATCTGTTTTTCCTCACAAACAATTTAGGATAAGAATTAAAGGGATAGTTTACTATCCCTTTAAGAAGTGGGCTTAATTATAGTATTCTTTATGCGTCTGTGCAGCTCTTCAAGAGCATGCAGATGTTAATGATGGAAAAGCAGCACTCATAGATGGATTGGCTGGCACTAATGGGGTCCAATCAGATGCCAGCGGTCACAGTGACGACCCTTCGGCTCCAGGAAATGATCAGATTGATCAGGTAACAGATAATGGGTTTTAGTCTCACAAGTGTTGGGATGCTGTACCATACAGTGGAGGTTTAGAGTGAAAGAACCAATAAAATGAAATGTCTGCTGGGATAATATTTACACCATGTGCAGGAAAACCAGAACTCTCAGATGACAATCAATGAAGCCATCTATACTGCAATCGAGTGTGATTGTCATGCATCTCCTGGTGTATGTAATAAGTTTGGAACAGCTGGCTATTCTTAAGCGACAAGTTTCAGTCAAAGTAAACAAGTTTGTTTACTCAGTCAGAGGATCCTAACAGTAGAGTTTCAGAGTAAATCAATGATTCAGCTATGCAGTGCTGCACTCTTTATCTGGAGGAGATTGCTGGAGATCTCAGAGGTCATGTTTAATGCTGGGGCTACAGATGCTGGGTGAACTGTGGCTAGACACAGCAGAGACACCACCATCAGCTTTTTCTGTGAGATCAGTCCAGTAAAGGGAACACAAGGACAGTGAACTGGTGTCTAGTATTTGACTACCACATGCCATTCATTAGCATTACCAAATTTGATCAAATGAGGGCTGCAGCTAATCAGTTATTCTTTGTATAGTTTGTCACTTTTTTTTAACATTCCCAACACCATAATATGGTGCATTTTCTTGAAATTAAACCGAATATCCAGCGGGAAATAATGTAGAATGGGACTTGATTTTATCCTTCATGATTGGATGATGAAAAGTGGGTTATGATGTTAGTGGTTAATATTTTTTCACAGCCTGATGTACTTGCCTTAAATCAGCAGAAAAGTTGGTTAAGTTTCCAGTTTCAAAGAAAAATCACGGGAGCAGGGCAGTGAAATAATAATAATAATAAAAAAAATGTTTTTTTATAAAGTTGAACAACTTTCACCTTGACATGGCATTCTAAAAACACAGCACAGATGCAAACAATGCGAGATGCGAATGCAATGGTCCAAGACGTCCGTCTAGTGAATGTTTAAATAGAAAAATCCAGGAACATTTATTAAAGGGTTAGTTCACCCAAAAATGAAAATTCTGTCATTAATTACTCACCCTCATGTCGTTTCAAACCCGTAAGACCTTTGTTCACCTTCGGAATACAAATTAAGATATTTTTGATGGAATCTGAGAGCGCTCTGACCCTGCATAGACAGCAACGCAACTGAAATGTTCCCA